CCCTAACTAGCCATCTCGCGTTGCCGGGTAAAAGACTTGTCTTCTCGCATAAATGTCGAATGAAATGAAACCCATGACTTAAAATTAGGGTTTCAATTGTGTGAAACCTCCTTTTAATGTGATACTACAAAATGCGAAAAGTAACTGTATTTAGGAAATAATATAAACTATTTTTTTTGTGTGTGCTAAATATATAAAAATATAAAAGAATATTCACCTCTTGTAATCTATGATATGATCATGTGACCCAAAAAGAAACAAAAATAATCTAAGATACGATCGTATCATTTTTTGTGAGGTACAATATAGAGCAGTCCATTGATGACACGGGTCTGAATGAGATTGCACAGCCCGTATCACTTATGCTATAGTCCATTGGGAAATTCATTTGCTTCAATCATTTTTGTTCAATCATTGAGAGCCAAGAATATTTGAATTTTTTATCAAAATATATAAATGAATTAGATTTTATTTTTTCATGTAGTTATTCTTCGTATTATATATACTTTACTTGTTTGACGTGAGAGAATTTGGATGTATTTTTATATTCAATCAAGCGCTTACGACAAATGGTTATAATGTGATTAGTTTAATAAAAAAGTGCAAGAAATAATTTAAATTCAAATAGTAAAAAAGAGTGAAAGAACAGTAAGAGTTTCGAAAGAAAACAAGACATATTCAATGAATTTAAAACACAATAATAACAACAATAATAGAAAGTGGTAGGTCCAAAAATATTGAGACGATCGATCAGTGATTAGCTGTATTGAAAAGCTGAGCTCTAAATGAGATTCCTTCCCCAATAAAACAATCAATTATACATACATTTGCCTGCATGGGTCTCTCTATAAATATGGCTATGATCTTCTAATCTCAATCAAACTCACCATCATCATCATAAGATTTTAAATTAATCTTCACACACAGAGCAACAATGGTGTTGTCTCTCTTCTCTACAGGAAATGTTTTCTTTATGATGAGTTTTTGCTTATTTGCAGCATTGTACCGGCCGGTTTTGAGTAGACCGGCTAAGTTTGAGGATGACTTTAGGATCACATGGTCCGATGCTCATATCACCCAAATCGATGGAGGACAAGCCATTCAGCTCAAATTGGACCCTAGCTCAGGTTCTTACATACAATATAATCAACTTCATGGAAACATAATATAAATTTTCAATAACATATATGTTTTGTTAACATTGGTTTAGGATGTGGATTCGCTTCGAAGAGGCAGTACTTGTTCGGCCGTGTGAGCATGAAAATCAAACTTATCCCCGGTGATTCGGCCGGAACTGTAGCTGCCTTCTATGTAACCATACAATTAAATATTTTAAGTTTGCACTAGTGCATTTCTATATTTTTGGTTATGATATAAAATGATGTATATGATTAATTTGCGCAGATGAATTCAGATACGGATTCTATAAGAGACGAGCTAGATTTCGAGTTTCTAGGAAACCGAAGTGGACAACCTTACACAGTTCAAACCAATGTATTTGCTCATGGTAAAGGCGATAGAGAGCAAAGAGTTAACCTTTGGTTTGACCCTTCTCGTGATTTCCACGAATACGCCATTTCATGGAACCATCTCCGTATTGTGTAAGTCATCTTATTATGTATATGTATAACCCATTAACATCACTTTGCTCTGGCTAATTATTAGAGAAAATGTAACATGTAGTTGATTTAACAGTAACAAATCAACCAATTATTTTGTACATTAAGATT